CTTCGGCATCTAATTTGTAACTCAAACGTTTCTCGCGTTTCCGTCGCGTCGTCTTCGTTTGAATCCATCGGTTTCCCAAGACGGAAATCCCCCAGACGGTGCACGGGCTATGTAAATGCGCGCAGATACCGTGAACGCGAGCGTATAATGCCAAGCATGCCGCGTCAAAGCGCCTCGCGGCTCGTGTGTACGCGTAAATAAAGTGAATATTTCAGAAACCGTAAAACGGGAGGAGGCACGGCCCCGTAAATTCTCGAAACGTCGTCGTCGTTTCGTTTCTCTGCTCGATTCTTCGCGGGTCAGTTATCTACCTCGATGATCGCGTGGGCGCACTCGACCGATCGAATTCGACTCGATAATTTCCACTTTAGCGAGAAAACATCCGATAGCTATCGCATCAAAGGCGTCGACTAATTACGAGATTATCTCCCGTTCGAGTAGCAGCTATCGTAAGAGTCGTTTGTCGTTGGATTCTTTTGCATGGAGCAGTCGCTTTGTTCTCGGACAGTTTCCGGTTATTCCGAAAAACTGTTCGTTCGTCGAGAATTCGACGATTCGCGGGGGGTTGGGCGGTGGTAACGGTGGTTCCAGGGAAACGAGGCAACGAGCGAAAAATTTAATTGCCGCGGAAACAGAGGCAAAGGACTTTGTCAAATTTTATTTCCTACTCGAAACTCGACGCTCGATTACATTAACGAGACACCGTAACGATGAACGTCGGTTCGCGGTCCCTTTGTTCCCAGCGAGTACAGAATTTTACTTGAAACAATTAGAACAAGGCCAAGAGACTCGTCGTCGATCGAGTTGAAACCGTTGCTCGTTGAAAGAAGAAGCGTCTCGCGTTCCTCGTTTCTCGTAACGTCGTCGAACGGGTCTATCGAACGCTAAACGCCATACGACAACGAAGAACGTTAACCGAACGGATAATACCAACGAACTCTGATCGATTCGTCGGAACAAAAAATATCCCCTTTTTTCTAGCGAGAAAATCGATCCGAATTCCAGTCACGCGAACGAGCTGGACGAGCCACGCGAGCTCGTGGACCACGAACTCGTTCTCGTTCTTCGCGGTCGTGAGCAAAATAAATTTCCGTCTACCGATTTCGCCCGTCTTCGTTCGAGAAGGAGACGAAAAAAACGGAGAAACTAGCTTGTCCCAGTTTCCGCGATTCCCGTCTCTCCCCGAGACGAGAAAACGCGAATCGAATCGATGAACGTTTCAGGGAGAGAGGAAGAACAAAAAAGGGAGAAGAAAGGGCGAGCTTTAGAAGCGATTTCGCTTCGACCGTTCGTTTCATGAAACTGTCAATTTTTCTATCGTCCTCCCTGTTCGACGATTCGTAGAAAAGAATCTTCGCGAATCGATTAATCCTCGGAAGCGTAGCGTCGTGTCGTCGAACCGTTGTTGGAAATTTCCGGCAGGCGCGAGCATTTGCCGCGAAGCGTTTGTCCGCGTTCGAAAGCAACGAGTTTGGGCGCGAGATCGTTAAAAGGCCCGAGGCGGAAAGGTACGAGCGACGAGTTCGTCGGCTGCGACGCTCCGCTCTTTTTTTCATCGCGGCGAGGCCAATTTTTCGTCGAGTTAATCGTCCCGATGCCGTACACGGAGTCTTTTTTTTTCCGGAAACGTTCGCTTCCTCGGTCTCGCGGCACGATTTTCCACGGTGTCGTTTTTACCCGAACGCGTACATTTTTTCCACCCACTCGAATTAATTCCTTCGTCTCCTCCTGTTGCTGTTCGCGTCGTCCGATCGCGTTAAATTCGCGCCGGTTAACCCGGCGAAGAAAGCTTTCTCGGTAGCCGTGTTTCGCGTAAATCTGTCCCGATTACTTAGTCGGCCGGGTTTACGCGACGAATTACAGGAATTTCTGAACCATTTAATTTCACCGTGCGCGCATTATGCCACGGCCACCCCTGTTGCTCGGCCGCACAATACGTTTCGAGCGCGTTTCCCCAACAACGACCACTCGAGAAGTTTGTCGGCGTGACGAAGAAAAGCCCGGTCTACCTCGGTCAATGAAATTGATTTAGACGCGTGCAGCGAACAATCGTAACACGGTTAACGTTCAAAGTCGTTGCTGGAACGGGTCGAACAATTCGCGAAAGCCGAGCTTCTGGAAACGACAAATAGACGAATCGCGCTACGGAGCCTCGTTGAACGAATCGGGAACGGCGGCGTCGTCTTCGCGAAAATTTTCCGGCCAGTATGGGAATTCGATCGATCGCGCGTGCTTTCCGTTCGCGACGATTGGCCGGAAAACGAACGCGGACCGCGGCCAAACTCGTTTTCGTCGATCGTTCCCGTCTCGATTAAACGCCCGTACGTTTCCCTCGATTTTTGCTCCCCCTCGGCCGGGCTGACGCGACGCCACGCGCGCTGACAAATCGTGCGCGCTTATCGAGGAAGCGGCCGAGCGTTCGCAGAGGGGAACGTACCGTAACTCGACGATTAGTTATTAAAGAAGGAACGAAGGATGAAAGCGACGAAAAGAAGGAAGAGACGAGGAAAACAGAAGTAATTTCGAGCGCGTCGATTACCCCCGGCAGAATTTTTCTGCCCGTGCACGCCTTCCACCTGAGAGTCTCTTCCCTACGGGCGAGCCCCTATAGAAATACCGTCATTGACTATCATCTATTCGAGGCCCTCTTCGCCTCGGGCTTATTTTTCGTATACCACGGCGAACTAGGCCACTGGAAACCGAGTCTTTTTATCTGCGCACCGTCCATTTTATGAATTTTATGAAACCTCCGGATGGCTACGGAGATGAAAAAGTTTCGCGGGCTTTAATGAAACTTTGGAGAAAAGTTTCCTCCTATCCATCCTCCCCTCCTTTTTCTGTCTTCGGCTGGTATATTTTTCTACCGGATACGGACGGACACGCGTATTCGTCGCGATTCCTTCGCGCCTTTTGCGATTACTTAGTCGGCCGGGTTTACGCGACGAATTACAGGAATTTCTGAACCATTTAATTTCACCGTGCGCGCATTATGCCACGGCCACCCCTGTTGCTCGGCCGCACAATACGTTTCGAGCGCGTTTCCCCAACAACGACCACTCGAGAAGTTTGTCGGCGTGACGAAGAAAAGCCCGGTCTACCTCGGTCAATGAAATTGATTTAGACGCGTGCAGCGAACAATCGTAACACGGTTAACGTTCAAAGTCGTTGCTGGAACGGGTCGAACAATTCGCGAAAGCCGAGCTTCTGGAAACGACAAATAGACGAATCGCGCTACGGAGCCTCGTTGAACGAATCGGGAACGGCGGCGTCGTCTTCGCGAAAATTTTCCGGCCAGTATGGGAATTCGATCGATCGCGCGTGCTTTCCGTTCGCGACGATTGGCCGGAAAACGAACGCGGACCGCGGCCAAACTCGTTTTCGTCGATCGTTCCCGTCTCGATTAAACGCCCGTACGTTTCCCTCGATTTTTGCTCCCCCTCGGCCGGGCTGACGCGACGCCACGCGCGCTGACAAATCGTGCGCGCTTATCGAGGAAGCGGCCGAGCGTTCGCAGAGGGGAACGTACCGTAACTCGACGATTAGTTATTAAAGAAGGAACGAAGGATGAAAGCGACGAAAAGAAGGAAGAGACGAGGAAAACAGAAGTAATTTCGAGCGCGTCGATTACCCCCGGCAGAATTTTTCTGCCCGTGCACGCCTTCCACCTGAGAGTCTCTTCCCTACGGGCGAGCCCCTATAGAAATACCGTCATTGACTATCATCTATTCGAGGCCCTCTTCGCCTCGGGCTTATTTTTCGTATACCACGGCGAACTAGGCCACTGGAAACCGAGTCTTTTTATCTGCGCACCGTCCATTTTATGAATTTTATGAAACCTCCGGATGGCTACGGAGATGAAAAAGTTTCGCGGGCTTTAATGAAACTTTGGAGAAAAGTTTCCTCCTATCCATCCTCCCCTCCTTTTTCTGTCTTCGGCTGGTATATTTTTCTACCGGATACGGACGGACACGCGTATTCGTCGCGATTCCTTCGCGCCTTTTGCACCCCGCCCTCCGAAACGATTCCCGAGACAGGAGCGGTTGGAAAACGTCGCATCGCGCCACGTTCGGCGCCGGTTAACCCTTCGTTTCGCGAACGTCGCAAATTTCGCGAACGCGTTAAACGGGCGTCGGTTGTTCGCGGAGAGAGAAATCGACGATACGTGACGGCCACTGATTGGTAGCTGCAGCGAAACGTGACGGTTGACGAGAAACGCGGCGACGTACCGTAACTGGCAACCGTTTTCGGCAAATTTTAATCTTCGAATCGATACACTCGGAGCCGTTCGCGCGGAAACTTTCCGCGAATCGTATCGTTGGCGTCCAAATATTTTGATGAAATAACGATCGCCGACGAAGCATTCGCGCGACGCGATCGGAAACGCGAATCGCCGTTTAATAACGTCGATATCAAAGTTTCGTTCTATATCGTCCGACCGGATAAAAGGATTAAGAAGTTTTCCGATAAAGTGCACCGATCACGGAACAGCGGCGTTACTTTTCGCTTACGAGCGGACTAAGCGGTTTTGGCAAACCGCTCGAAACTCGTCCTTACGCTTCGTTTCTCGAAAACGCTTCTTCCTTTGTTGTTCCTTCGGTTAAAATTAAAGCGTCGCTGCCGGGTGCGTAACGTTGAACGTTTTATCGTTTTTCGATAACGCGAGTCTCGAGGACGGTCTGGCAATCTTTTTTCCGGGCAACGTTCTACCAACGTTCGATGCGCGTAGTCTCGAAAGTTTCGCGAGAACTTCTCTACCCGCGGAAAATTCCCAAGGTAACCGGTCCGAAATTCCTTCGGGATACGAGCTGCTTTCGTTCCGGAACGAGTGGTTCCCGTAGGAATTTTCCTCGCGAACTTGGAAATTTTCCACGCGAAACTCGATCGGTTCCGCATCCCGTGCATCGACAAGAATCTCGTTCCCTCGTTTCACGCATGCACCTCGTTTCCGCTTGACGCGCGACGACCTCCGCTAATCGCACGTTTCGTCTTTCTGTTCGCAGAAGCCGATTACACTTTAGATGATTCCTTTTGGAACGAAGAAACTCCTAGCGGTAAGTGTTGCGAGGCACGCGGATAAAAAGAGGGCAGGTTAATTTCGCGGATCGTTGTTGAAAGTTAGCGAGGAACCGTGAATTACGCGCGAGTATCTTCTCGTAACGAGCATCTCCGTTTTCCGCGGCGAACGAACTCGCGCCGGCGTTCCCTCCTCTCCGACGATTCTTCTTTCTTCGCCGTCGCGCCGCGATATATCGAAAGCCACCCGCGAGACGTTGATCGATCGTGCCATAAACAAGTTTTATCGACGAAGCTCTCTTAAAAGATTAAGACGGGAGGAAAACGGAAAGGAAAGAAGGAGCGGAATCGTGGAAAGCTGGTTCGCGATCGCGTCGAAACACAACGGGAGGGAGGAGACCGCATTGCAGCACTTCCCTGGGAAACTCGATCCACGGTTACATCTAGTTCTCGGACGGGCCGAGAATGGTTTATCGTTGAGTCAACAGCGGTGATTGGCTGGAAACACGAAACTTAAATTGGGTTAAATTTTAGACGAGAGGACGACGCGACGCGACGCGGCGCAACGCAACGAGCCGTATAAAACGGACGATGATGGAACCGATCGTGCGACCGTAAAATCTTTTCTACCCTCCGAGAACGAGGGAGGGTGGGCGCGTCGAACTCGAGAGAGTTTCGAGAACGATGTCTCGTTGCTACGTACATATCCGACCGTACGATTTTCTTTCGTTCTCGACGAGGCTGCTCGCGTTTCTTCCGTTTTCTCGGGACAATTCCGGTGCTCGTTCCGGGAGAAAAAGTGTTCGGATTTAAATTGCAAACGACCGACGAAGCCGCCTGCCGCACGCGTTTCCCGCTGAGATTAATATTCATAGCAGTGTTTCGTTACGCTCGTAGCTGACCGAGTGGTCGACGGATTTTCGGGGTCGAAAAGTAAATTCGCCGTGAATATGGTCGACCGCGAAACGGGACGTAATAACCTGTCGCGCAACTTCGATTAATCGCGATTCCCGTTTCCGAGTACACGCGACTCGGCTTTGCGCGAGCAAACCCGCGTAACGGACAACGACGACAATCTGCCTGCTGCTTTGACGACCGAGGGAACAGTCGAATTTAATCGCTCTACTAGCGTCTGAACATCCGATTCGAATCCCGACAACGGTATAGAACACGAAAAGAAGTAAAATACGCGTCGATCGCGTCGAAAGTACGCTTCGAAAGTTCTCCGCGACGTCGTTACTCCCGGAAGCCACGAGAATCGTTACGATACCGGAAATTGCGCGGAGCACCCTCTCGTACGTGGAAATTTTCACGAGAAAATATTTTCAACTACGACGTACGGCTACTCCCGATCGAACTTTACGACGGAAATTCGAAATCGACCGCGTTTAATCCCGAAAACCGAATCCGTTAAACGGCGAGCGATCGTGCAAGAAAATAATCCGAGCCACGAACGCGTTCGTTCGATTAGTTTCATTGAATTTTATCGCGAGTTACGTGCGCTCTCGGCGTAGGACGTTAACGCGATGTTACGAGTTACTAGCGGCAGATTAGCATAACTGCTATCGTTACCGTTTCCTCGACTAAACGACGCCCGTATACCGGCCGTAACTAAACGCAATTTCGTCAACAGGTGTTACGAACCGACTCGCGCCAGAACCTTCTTTTTATCGTTCGAAATTGAAAGCGTCACGCGAGCGTCGAATCGCTTAATCGCGTCGATCGGACGAAAATATTGGGTGAACGCGAAACGCGTTAGAAGGGTACTCGATTCGATTGACAGTGGCGCGTGATAATTCGTTACGCGACGACGTCTTGTCGCGTTGAAAAGGCCGATGTAAATGGGGGAGAGGAGAAGGAGGTGGAGGAGAAAGAGAAGCGGGGTGCAGAAGCGTGGCAAGTAATTATCCATACACTTCATTTTGAATGGGTCGGGTTAAATCGAGCAAAGCCCGGACACTCGATAAGAGGGTAAACTAGACGCTACGCGCTTCGAGGAGGCCCTTCACCGATTATCTCGACTCATTCGCGGCTGGTGATGCCGGCGACGAGGCAACGGTTTAGCGGAGAAGAGCAAGAAGAGCAAACCGCTAATTACGCTCGGTCCGAGGAGCCTTTGATTCCTCTCGGAGGACCGCGACGCGCGTTCGCCCGCGTTCCGTTCCGCGAGACCTCCCCGATCAACGATACGGTTCTTTCGCGAAACAAAAGCCTTAATCGGAGATCGAAAGAACGAAATCGGGACGTTCGATTGAACGGGAAAATTGATTTCAGGTGAGGTCGAACGACTACTACGAGAATATCGACAGAACCAAGAGCTAGTACGAAATATCGGGGCCCATTACTATCAGATCATCTATCCGGTACAATTACGGCATCACGAGAAAATGGGGATATCCACGAGAGAAGTCAGCGTGTCCAAGGTAATTCGATTTATCCGCAAGTTCGGCCACGAAGCTCAAGTACCCTGATCCCAAAATTTTCTCGCGTTTCTAGTTTCCTCAAAGAGGATACGGAGAGGGTGGATATCAAAATTCTAGAGGCAGAATGAGAGTAAGTGTACACGGATGTTTGCGATTAAATTAGATCGTGCGTCCGAAAACGAATTAAACGGACGAGTTTCCTTTGATTTTCAGACGGGGAAACATTTTCATCGGACGTCCCTTTTGATCAAGGCCTTTAATCATAAATTTCGCCTAGATTTAGAATTAAATGCGTAAGTGACGCGACTCTCGAAACATTGACACGCGTCGATCGGTTTCTCGAGAACGAGGAAACGTTCTCGCGGAACCGATTCGACGCGATTTTCCACGTTTATTCTCGAACGCTGATCGAAGCGATTCCGTGTTACAGGCAACTTTTAGCTCCGAATCTTATGCAAAAAGACTTTTTAGCCAAGGGCGCGGAACAAAGTTCGAAACAGGTAAACCGAGACGTTCGAATCTGGAAACGTCGTCGTTCGTGGCGTCGACCGCGCGTTTCACCATCCACCGATTCTTTTTCAGGAGATAGAGCATTGCTACTATCACGGTACCGTGAGGGACTATCCAGGAGCCAGCGCCGCTTTTCACACGTGTAACGGTGTCAGCGGCGTTATTCATTTAGGCAACGAGACGTTCGTCATTCATCCATTTTACGGCGGCGATCTGTCGGTCAGTTTAACGGCTGGAAGCCCCAACATTTTTCGCCTACGAATATTCGCGCGTTACCTCGTCCGTCAAAATTTTTCTTTCGCCTCGCGAAACTCGAAAAATTACCCGAGTTACGATCCTGAACGTAACCGTATTTTTCTTCTTTAACGTTTGACGCGCGAAACGTTCCAACCAGCGGTCATCGACCGCGAGTGCGGTTCAAACGGTTAACGAATCACGCGACAAATAATTTCTCTCGCCAAAGAGCGTCAAAGGAGTACTTTGTTTGACCGGAGACGACGAGCGCGTCGAGTCTCTGGGTCCGTTTCGTTGGCACGACGCACCAAACGAGAGGATCGAGTTAAGCGGATTCGACCGTTGTGAATCTTTGCTTCTTTGCTACGATTGTTTTCGACCGATACGCTACCGGCAACAAGGATTTCGCTCGTTTGACAGGAAGTTACCACAGTCGGAATCACCGAGCAACCCTCTTACCAGGACCACGACGTATTTCGTTCGCTGGCAAATTTTCGAACCGGTTGTTCGATGAACCAGTCGAGCGAACGGATTGTTTTTCGTTGCAAGAACACGGCAGCGCCGGAATTGGCGTTTTTCTCGAGATCGTGGAACAACGATCGAGTAAGAAAAGTAAAAAAAAAATCGTGAGCGATAGTCTCGAACGCTGATCGAAGCGATTCCGTGTTACAGGCAACTTTTAGCTCCGAATCTTATGCAAAAAGACTTTTTAGCCAAGGGCGCGGAACAAAGTTCGAAACAGGTAAACCGAGACGTTCGAATCTGGAAACGTCGTCGTTCGTGGCGTCGACCGCGCGTTTCACCATCCACCGATTCTTTTTCAGGAGATAGAGCATTGCTACTATCACGGTACCGTGAGGGACTATCCAGGAGCCAGCGCCGCTTTTCACACGTGTAACGGTGTCAGCGGCGTTATTCATTTAGGCAACGAGACGTTCGTCATTCATCCATTTTACGGCGGCGATCTGTCGGTCAGTTTAACGGCTGGAAGCCCCAACATTTTTCGCCTACGAATATTCGCGCGTTACCTCGTCCGTCAAAATTTTTCTTTCGCCTCGCGAAACTCGAAAAATTACCCGAGTTACGATCCTGAACGTAACCGTATTTTTCTTCTTTAACGTTTGACGCGCGAAACGTTCCAACCAGCGGTCATCGACCGCGAGTGCGGTTCAAACGGTTAACGAATCACGCGACAAATAATTTCTCTCGCCAAAGAGCGTCAAAGGAGTACTTTGTTTGACCGGAGACGACGAGCGCGTCGAGTCTCTGGGTCCGTTTCGTTGGCACGACGCACCAAACGAGAGGATCGAGTTAAGCGGATTCGACCGTTGTGAATCTTTGCTTCTTTGCTACGATTGTTTTCGACCGATACGCTACCGGCAACAAGGATTTCGCTCGTTTGACAGGAAGTTACCACAGTCGGAATCACCGAGCAACCCTCTTACCAGGACCACGACGTATTTCGTTCGCTGGCAAATTTTCGAACCGGTTGTTCGATGAACCAGTCGAGCGAACGGATTGTTTTTCGTTGCAAGAACACGGCAGCGCCGGAATTGGCGTTTTTCTCGAGATCGTGGAACAACGATCGAGTAAGAAAAGTAAAAAAAAAATCGTGAGCGATAGTGGGTCATGATCCTGGCGCTCTTTCGCGAGAACAAAAAGCTCGCGGCTCGGGTATAAGCCATAATCGAATAGAAGAGAGAACGGGGAGGCGTTAAAAGCGGGCAGTGAGCTGCTCGGAGAATGTTAACTATATGCAGACCTCTCTTTTAGCAGAAACATCCTCACGTTATATTTGAAGCTCGAACAAAGGCTAACAAAGGCTGCGCTAACTCGGGGAAGCTCGAGTGGCGTGTAAAGAACCGTCGGCAGAAGCATATTCTGGGGCTATCGGAGACCACTTCCGATCGATACAAGAGAGACGTCCGTGAAACAACCAAATACATCGAAACTGCCATCATCATCGATAAGGCTATGGTACAGTAATTTTATTCGTCTCTGTCCCTTATCCGTTCCTCCCCTATCCTCTCGGAAGGCGATAGACGAAAGTTACGGAAGCGTCGATCATCGTCGTAATCGTTAAGGAACGAGGAGGACCGGGTCGTTTACGAAGTTTCGCGGGACCGTCTCGAAACTCCCTCGTACGTTGCACGACGCGGCAGATTCGACGACGATCGTTCGCGAAGCGTTTAACGAATCGATGCGATCGCGTTTAACCATCTTCCCCGTCCTCGTCGTAAATAGAAGCGGTAAAAAAGTCGATCGCTAGACGCGGGGCTTGTTAACGAGAACGTTCTTGTCCCGTATCCAGTTCGAGAAGAGGAACGGTAGCAGCAGAGCGGAAGTTGTCCACGATGCCATCCAAGTCGCTAATATCGCTGATTTGGTGAGTTTCCCCGTGCACGCGAAGGATCACGGGCACATACTCCATTAATTCGATTCTCCTTTTTCCCGCAGTATTTCCGTACGTTAAACACTAGAGTCTCCATCATATACATCGAAACCTGGCAGAGCTCGAACCAGGCGGAAATCGAAAAGGGCATGGATATCAGTCTCGCTTTGAACAATTTAAACGATTACACGATGCGACGGATGTTCCACGTGCCCCACGATACCACCCAACTGCTCACGTGAGTATATAAACGGCGAACGAGCAAAAAATTCACCGTTCGTAATAACGACGATTCGCAGGGGTGAAACGTTCGCGGGCGAGGAGTCGGGAATGGCCGAGCCTTTGACCATTTGCAAAGCAAAATCGGTGGGCATCAGCGTCGATTTGAACGTGTACGAACCCCATCTGCTGGCCGGTACCATGGCTCACATGATCGGCCACAATATCGGCATGAGTCACGACGACGGAAGTCAGTTTCGATCTCGTTCGGCGATCGCGTACCGCGTTCGATGAAAATTACACGTTTTTTCCTTTTTCAGGGAACGAGTGTATCTGCCGCGACTGGCACGGATGTATCATGGCTCAGTCGATCGTCGGTTTGGAGAACGTTCAACCGTACAAGTTTTCCGAGTGCAGCAAAACGGATTACATCGAGTCGTTGAGAGTCGGCAACGGGCTTTGTCTTTTTAATAAACCGAACGAGGTAAGAGGTGGCAAAGGATCGCTAAGGTATAAGAGGATCGCGACGAAACGAACCGCGAACTGTTTTCCAAGCTGGCGCGAAAACGAATTAGCAAAGATTCACGGAGCTGGAAGAAGATTTTAACTTCCTTTCTTGTTTCGGTTCGTTGAGTCGCGAGCGAATTTCCACGGGCTAGCGTATTAAACGCCGTCGTTTGCTTTGTTTCCGGCGCGACAACGCGACAGCTGGAAACCAGGAGATCCTGCGGAAACAAGGTGATCGACGAGGGCGAGCAATGCGACTGTGGCTCGATCGACGAATGCCCGAAACTGGACCCTTGCTGCGATCCGATCACCTGCAAGCTCACGTCGGAGGCGCAGTGCGCGAGCGGTCCTTGCTGCAGCAATTGCAAGGTAAAACACTCGAGAGCGTATATCTATTCTAGTGTATATAGAATAAAATTAATCGGCTGGTATTCTCGAACCGTAGTTGCTGAAGCAAGGAGTAGTGTGCCGGGAATCGACGAACGAATGCGACCTGCCGGAAGTCTGCACCGGGGAGACGGGCCAATGTCCGGAGGACGTTTACAAGAAGAACGGAAATCCTTGCTCGAACAATGCCGGCTACTGTTTCAACGGCGTTTGCCCGGCGTTGAATCTCCAGTGCGATCAAATCTGGGGATACGGTGGCATAGCCGCGGACGAACAGTGCTTCGAACAGTTTAATTCCAAGGGTTCGTTGACCGGACACTGCGGCACCGACGCTTCCGGTCACTACATCAAATGCGAGCCAGAGTGAGTACTACTCGAGTTGAAAGTACGACCGATAACCGAGACGATCAACCAGCATTTGATTCTTTCCGTTCCTCAGAAACGTCCGTTGCGGCTCGCTGCAGTGCCAACAGGGTAGCAAACAACCGGTGATCGGCGGTATGGACCACTCGAGGACCATCATCTCGACGAAGGGCAAAGAATACGAATGCAAGTAAGTGTACGCTCGCGTTCGCGATCGAGACGATTTCGATTGAACGACATTTGTTTTCGTTGCACGCGAAGATCGACGATTGGAAAGGTGGAGGGATCGGAGATGCCGCTGATGGGGTTGGTTCGCGACGGAACATCGTGCGGCGACAATTTGGTGAGTTTCACGACCCTCCGAACTCGGTATTCGTGGCAAATTAAATGAAACTGCTAGCCACTTTTCGACGTTACGTTAACGCGACCGGGTTCGTCGCGTCGGTGCCGTAAACCGGATTATGCAAAGTCGACGAGCAACCGTGTATACGGTTTAGCCGTATACGGTGACGCGGCGAGTAAACGGAGCCGTTTACCTTCGATCTATGTACGCGTTGTCGGGCTCAGCGAAACGAGGCGCATAGAACGGACGGAAAAGTTTGCGAACCACTTTCGGCTAACGTAGCTTAATTCTCGTGTTCCAGATTTGCGTGAACCAGACATGTACGAGCCGCTTTCCGCTCGTAGACAAAGAACGATGTCCCAGCAATAACAACAACATCGAATGCTCGGGCAACGGCGTAAGTAAAACTAACGAAATACTCGTTAAAAGGTTGGACGTTGGAGTACATGTTTTCTCGTCGACAGGTGTGCACGAACGTGAACAAATGTTACTGCAACCCGGGATGGAACGGGTCGGATTGTTCCATCGCGCAGGATATACCGACTCACCCGCCCACCACCTCTAGCACCGAATCAGCCGGTAAAAATAGTTCAGATCCTAAATTGGTGAAGAAAGAGACCCCCTACGGTAAGTCGTGATTCGTTATGAACCGGTCCGATCGAAACGTTAACGTTAACGAACGGGAAATCGAACTCGTCGAGCTTCGATTTCTCAGCGACCGAATACTTTAGCGATTAATAATATCTGCGATACGCGCAAATCCAAGGACGCGTACCGATTACACGGCACGGTACGGTTGTGACAATTTTTCTCGCGTTACGCGACCACGAGATCGAAAATCCAAGCATTTATGTCGTACGGAAGTCACGTGCGAATCGTTCGAAAGAATTTTACCGTGCCCGGTAATCTTTCGAGACAGACGTTTTTCGATCGTTTGGACGCGTTTGATTGGCGATGAAACGAACATTCGTCCCCTCTTCCCCGCCGGGATAACCGCCTCATTATTTGGGGCCATACCAACAGCTGTGCACATCGAATTCGTCGCGTTCTTCGTACATACATACATATATAATATACATGTATATACATAAGACGGGTAGATAAGCTTATTCCATCCCGCGTTCCCACTTTCGATTCGCCTATCCGTCCAAGCCCCGACTCTCGTCGAGAAGAAAAAGAAGAAGGAACGATCGCGCGTTCAACCACCTTCTCGCGACGACCTCTCTTCGGGGACAAAATCGTCTCTCTCCTCGAGCCATGATCGTGTAATCTCCTCTCGTGATCGTTGTCGAGCGAAACGCCGTGTTTTCTTCTTCTTCGACCAAGCTTACGCGATCGAAGTTCGGTACTGCCGAAGAGAAAGCTCACGCGACCGCGTAATTTTGGTCTCGTTGGGTTTCGGGGACGATTTCGAGCGAGATACTTATCGCGATCTCTTCAGGGATATTTTGGAGATGTTGTTCGTCGCGCGAATAAAAGAGATTGATTTTTGCGAAAAGTCCTTGAAAAGATTACGATGGAACAGGATCGTACGAGATCCGAACACGCGGATCGTCGAGCGATCTGACACGCGTAGATTACGAAATAATTGGTCATTTCAGAGGGAACTAACAACACTCTTAGCACCGGAGCGATGGTATTAATCCTGTTCGTTGTGGTGATAGCGGTCTTCATTAGTTTTGCGCTAATGGCTATTTGCTACAGGTACAGTAGCAAAATAAAAGTTATTCAGTGGATTCGAGCAACGTCTGTCGTTGTCAAGTAATTCGTGGCTAGCTGGATGATGAGGCATCGCACGCGGCCATCAATTGCTCTCATAATATTGATTCATCTTAGCCTATTTACTCGATGTTCGTTTATGTATATATATCTATATATACGTGAATATTATATGCGTACATTTCATACATACATACATATATATACATATATATATATATATATATGTATATATATGTATGTATGTATGAAATGTACGCATATAATATTCACGTATATATAGATATATATACATAAACGAACATCGAGTAAATAGGCTAAGATGAATCAATATTATGAGAGCAATTGATGGCCGCGTGCGATGCCTCATCATCCAGCTAGCCACGAATTACTTGACAACGACAGACGTTGCTCGAATCCACTGAATAACTTTTATTTTGCTACTGTACCTGTAGCAAATAGCCATTAGCGCAAAACTAATGAAGACCGCTATCACCACAACGAACAGGATTAATACCATCGCTCCGGTGCTAAGAGTGTTGTTAGTTCCCTCTGAAATGACCAATTATTTCGTAATCTACGCGTGTCAGATCGCTCGACGATCCGCGTGTTCGGATCTCGTACGATCCTGTTCCATCGTAATCTTTTCAAGGACTTTTCGCAAAAATCAATCTCTTTTATTCGCGCGACGAACAACATCTCCAAAATATCCCTGAAGAGATCGCGATAAGTATCTCGCTCGAAATCGTCCCCGAAACCCAACGAGACCAAAATTACGCGGTCGCGTGAGCTTTCTCTTCGGCAGTACCGAACTTCGATCGCGTAAGCTTGGTCGAAGAAGAAGAAAACACGGCGTTTCGCTCGACAACGATCACGAGAGGAGATTACACGATCATGGCTCGAGGAGAGAGACGATTTTGTCCCCGAAGAGAGGTCGTCGCGAGAAGGTGGTTGAACGCGCGATCGTTCCTTCTTCTTTTTCTTCTCGACGAGAGTCGGGGCTTGGACGGATAGGCGAATCGAAAGTGGGAACGCGGGATGGAATAAGCTTATCTACCCGTCTTATGTATATACATGTATATTATATATGTATGTATGTACGAAGAACGCGACGAATTCGATGTGCACAGCTGTTGGTATGGCCCCAAATAATGAGGCGGTTATCCCGGCGGGGAAGAGGGGACGAATGTTCGTTTCATCGCCAATCAAACGCGTCCAAACGATCGAAAAACGTCTGTCTCGAAAGATTACCGGGCACGGTAAAATTCTTTCGAACGATTCGCACGTGACTTCCGTACGACATAAATGCTTGGCGACGCGACGCGACGGTTCCAGTTTACTTTCTCGAGTAGAATCATCGCGCGCTTCTCGCCGTACCAGCAGAGTTACGCGACAGCCTGTATATTCCAGTGTTTCTTCGATGGTGTGCTCTGAATGTGCTCGTGCTCTCGTACCGCGTTTTGAATAATCACGATCATCGTGACTATGTCATATGCTGCGCGAGCGAGACGGATCTATATCTCGAGAGTCGTCGCGCGCCAAGGGACGAGTAGCAAAGCTCCTTCGCTAATCTCGCCAATTCCAACCGATCGCGATCTCTCCGTTTTTCAGGCGTTCGAACAAACCACGCGAACGCTGCGCCGATTCGTCCCTTCGAGTGTACGATATCTAATACACGATCCACCGTAACGCCAATGTGCCAGCTGCTTGTATGCCCAATAAAAGCATGAACGAGGCTAATTAGCAAGAAACCAAAAAAGAAAAGAAAAAACGTCGTCCTTTCGTACCGTTCGAGGCAAACTGAATCGTTGAACGAAAACGAATGAAAATCGGCTGAAAATCGACCATTGCGCGCAATTCGAGACGCGAATACTCGGATTGCGACAGTGGTTGCGAGGTACGACGAAAATACCAACAATAAAAGTTATATATACATATATATGTACATATATAGGTATACAGGGTGTTCGATAACAGACGAGAGAGACTTTAACGATCGATTTTATAGACGAAGGTACGTCGAGACTGACGAAATTATGTTCGCGGTTTTATTCTTCGAACATTATTAGACGAAAAAACAAAACCGCGAACGCGATTTCTCGACGTCGATCCGTAGAATCGAACTTTAAACGCTGACCCAGCTGTCGTCGAACACCCTGTGTACATACATGTATATATATCTCTTATACTATAATGCAGAGTCTAACTGTGTTATATCGAACCAATGGCTTTTATCGAAGCGACTTTAAAGAGAACATAGGAAACGAAAAAAATGGTTCGCACCGATCGTATCGAAGAGGTTTGGCGAGCGATCGATGGTGTGTTCCATGAAAAAAGAAAGTACGTCCATATGTATATGTATATGTGCTGATTCTGGCTTCTCTGTTTCTTGTCTGTTTCTGTCTGTCACTGCCATCTCTGTCTGTCTGCATGCTGTGGGACGCTCGGATACGAAAAATAAATCATCCGTGTACTACGCGCTGCCCGAACAACGGTACTCTACTCGATGATCTTGATATCAAACGTTGGATATCAAACGATTTTTCCGTTCACGCGACCCACCCCACGACGACGGCGTTACTCTAAACGATGTAACTAACTTACTAACTAAATAACCAACTAACTAACACGTCTGATCGTCACAGAGAACTACCACGGCTCTAACACTGTATTTTTAGTTGTTATGCTCATGTCGGTGGTAGGGGGTGTTTTCATAGTATTTGCTCTGATGGCTCTCTGCTACAGGTCAGTCGTAGTACATAAAAACTACTCCCTCTGTCTCAGGTTAGTGTGCAGAAACATACACGTAGAACAATTTTTTTTCCTATTGCTTATATATGTATATATATATGCACATATGTACATATATATACGAATGTCTCTTCCTTACGATCACGCGTCGTACATATATATTTACATGTATATCTTTAGAGTCCGTATTTGTCTCTTTACTTTCTTTCTTTCTCTATTTCGTTCTCTCTTTCTTTCTGTCTCTGTTTCTTTCTTTCTTGGCTTACTATATATTCACTTTTGTACGTTCGTATACTTTTTTTCTTATCTCTGTCTCACTCTCGCTCTCTGAATCGGTAATGCGCTCTGTAAAGTAAAAAGAGAAAAAAGAAACACGCTGCATCGCTGCGCTGCAATAACTGGCAATATTTCGCAAAGAAACTTCCTTCGAGGTTTCGCTTACGCGATCACGGTGAACACCGATTCTCGTCGCAACGAACAGACGTCAGAGTTCAAGAGTTTGAGAAAGACGAAACGAGCGATCTTCCAGCTCTTCAGGGTATATACCTGATCGTTGCTACGACTATGCACGAGCAGCTTGAGCGAACGTTGCCGCAAAACGGAACACACGTGCGTATACTGGTATTCGATCGATTTCGCGAAACGCTACGGGCTCGTCGAGCACCGACGACGCCCCGCGACGAAATCGATCAACGTACGTATCTGTTAGTAACGCGATATAGAGTAAATTGCAAAAAGAAAGAGAAAGAAAGAAGAAAATTTGCCTATACGTATTTTCTGAACGACAAAGGCGTATCTTCGCCGCCATGGAACGCACGTGTTTGCCGAGAAAAAGCTTCACTCGATTATCAAGATACTTTTTGTCTGTGTCTACGTTATCGTTTGATTTTAAGTAACACGTTTGGTTGATGGGTACTGCAGTGAAGGGCGATCCCACGCGAGTGGCTGTAAGACCAGCTGCGGATGTACCGTTCGACTGGTTATCTCTTTTCGTTCTAATGCATGCCCACACGATTCCCTGATTGACCCCCGTAGTCGCACCAGCTTCGCTAGCTTCGACCATCCCGTGGAGATAAGTGAAACGTACGCACGGTGGGTCTCGATTATACGAACGATCGTTCAAATTTCTTACTCGCGAATTTATCAACGTCGCGATCATCCGAAACTGGTTGCGTATCGAAGAGCGCGCGTTCGAATCGAACGTACCGTGCATACTCGTAGCAAAGCATCGCGCACGACTACGCTTTCAAAGGGAGTCGACTACGATTCCTTTTGATTCGATCGATACGTTCGCAAAGTCACCGAACGATCGTTTCCTTCTGGACGACGAAAGGAACGAACGGGGGAATAAATCCGTTCGTAGTCTTTCTCCCTCCGGTAGCTTGCATGCGCTTCAAAGTTTCGACAAGTTTTATCTGGTTGTACCTCGCACGGCCCTCGCATCCTCGTAATCGGCGAATTTCTCGCAGAAGGAAGAGCACCGTCCAGAAATACGATCAACCGTACGCGAAAAAACAACCGCAGAAGGGTTACAGCGAAAATCATCATCCGGAACACGCGGTCCTGGACAACGTCAACAAGATCATCTCGTTCGCCAGTATGCCTAATTACAGGTATGACGTACGTCTCGTAGCATAATCGATCGTTCGATCGATAGGGCTAGATACACTTGATCGCGTACGTTAGATCCGTCCGATCGATTTACAAAATTCTCGTGATAAAACGAACTTGTTTCTCGTTTCTCTGCTACCCCGTTAACGAAGATAAAACGCTGCTTACTTACGCGGAATCAGTGAACCGAGAAACAAAATTCCGAACGATTCTGAAGCGACGACAGAAAGTTTTAGGAAGACTTTATTATACATATATATACGTACTTTTTAATTAAAGGTCTTGAAATACCGCTTTTAAGAGACAATCTAGGGAAGACCCCTGCAATTAGCGTTTGAAATAAAAGGATCCATTAACGATCGCTAAAAGACACGTATCGCTTCTACTTACTATACGTACATTGGTTCTCCATTAACGTTCGCGTCACACGAATTCATGTCACACGACATTCACGCGACATCTACGGAATCATTTGACCGACCGCGACGAGATTTCTCGTTCGAGAGACGCGCATCGATTCCTACGCGATTCGCGTTCGATTCGTCGAATAAGCGTTTTCTCGTAGACACGTCATAATCTTTCGCGACGAGTCATCTTCTCCGTCGTTCGACGAAACACGCGGAATCTTGCTCGATACGTTTCCGCTCGCCTTCTCGAAACGACAAAGAATTCCTTTAATATCGCACGCTTCGAAAGAGATCGAGCTTAGCATAGAAATAAGTTGGAATACTTTCCGTTACGCGACGAATTCACTCGAGGAATTTCTTTTCCGAACGAATGCTTAAAACTCATTTTTCGATTGTCGCGTCGCCGCTCGAGAAAGATCAAAGAGAACGACGGAACGCGAAGACGTCTCGTCGACGTTTCTCTCGAAGCCGAGAACACCGACGCCATACTAGACAGCTTTTTAACCCTTTCTGGTCGGTACGTCACTCCGTCTTGGAAACTGTTCCTTTTCTTTTCCTTTTCTCTTTCAATTCCGCGCACGTACAAATCGACGCGATTCGTTGAAACTGACCGCAAAGGGTTAAACACTCGTGAAATAGGCGCGGCATGCCTATATTAGTATATTTCTAGCCGCAGCGAGAACCAGCGCGTGCTGTTTCGACACCCGAATAACGTCACCACCGCAGACGGGCCAAGACTCAAGTAAGTCTCATGTGTCTCGCCGTTATGTCACCATAGTTGATCGACGAATTCGAAACTCGAAACACCGACACAACCGTCAACGAAGCAGGCCAGCCTTCTCGCGAAAAACGACCGAAGGATCTTTACCGTGAAAATCCACTTATCCTTTTTCTTCGTTTTTTTTTTTTTTTCTTTTTTTCGATTCCAGTATTTTCCTCGCTGTCCTGCCTCGTTTCGCTCTCTCTCTTGACGAGAGCCGACACGAAGAAAGATATCTCCTAGGAACGCGGTAACTGTTGAAGGCGAATATCTTTCGCGTGCATCGCGAGCATATACGCGTACACGACACGCATACACGGAGAAACACACATCTACGGAACGTCGTAAGGCGCGATAAAACGAGAATCAATTCGTAAACGTGACACCGCTTAAGAGCACTCGTCGAAAGGAAACGCAGCGGTAACAATTTATAATACGGGTATTCGACAGAACGCGAAATAATCGGTACAAGGAGAAACACGACGTCGTTCATCGACGATAATGGAACACCTTGCACTTTCGTTTCTCTATTTTTCCTTTATTCTTTCTTTCCTTTCGTTACTTCGTTCCGACAATTGCGACGTTTCAGCGGGTCTTTCGTCGCAACGAAACTTACTGTTAGCATAACGGCACGATGCATTTGGCCCAAAGTTGTTCGCGACGTTCGAAGTGGGCAGAACTCGGTTCGAAGAATTAACAAACACTACGATACTTCGTTTTTCGCAAACGTATTTCATTATATTTCGTTCTCGTTTCATCCTTTTTCTCGCTAGCTCGTATCGTTACGTTTCACAATTTGATTTCGATACGTTTCATGCTTCATCGTACATCTAACACACACGCTGCAATCCACTCAAGTAGACGCGAACAAAATGCATGAGTAGAAGTAACCCTGAGCACATGATTTTATTTCACCCTGGGCACCTTTGCATGCGAATTTTTCTTTCGAACGAAAACGCAAAGTACGTTCGCGTCGAACCCCGATGATACCAGCCAGCATGCATCGTACGTTTCTTTGAACACCCGCATCCGTAGAATGTCCCTTTTGCAAGAGAAGAATAAACCTTTCTTAACCCGTAACAAGATTAAAATGTACGCGAAATCGTCGTTCGCTTTTGCAAATTATCACGCTCGGCACTCGACGATCAAGAATGCTTCGAACGATAGTTTCGAAGAAACGAGCGTGATTCGTTCGATGATCTTTTGATTAACCTTTTCGCGAACTAACGTAATCGTTCTATTTCGCTTAACGCGATACGGTGTCTTGTCGTTTCAACCGAGAAAGATACGGTTCGAATGTCGCCGTTAACGACGAAAGGGTTGATAAAAGAAATTTTTTTTGAAACGAACGTCGAGTGTACGATATTCGCGAAACGTTATTTAGTGGTATCGGAGCAAGAATGTATCTTTTGCATCGACATTTTCAGGGATCACAAATCGCAGATGAAGAGGCTGGCTATAAACGAGATAGACGGAGGTACGGGCGCAGAGGAGGAAGTCTCTTTCATTGATCTGCAACCGAACAATCCCGCAAAACCTGAGAAGGGAATTTTAAAGAAACACGCTGGTCACGGTATTGTAACGACTGATAGACGTAAAAACGAGTGGGAGGGTGGTTGACTCGCGAATCCATGGCAAGGGAAGATGCATCGAGCTCGAATTTCTCGAAAAGTTTCCGATAATCGTTGATCTTTCGATCCGTTGGATCGATCGATCGAGCCGTTTGCATCGACCTTCTGCGCGCGACACGCGACATTAGAGCGGTTAAGGGGCGCGAAATATCGAACGCTAACGATAAGAAAACAGAGCCGTCCGATCGTAACAGGTATCGAAGGTGGCACGGTGGTCGAACTGGAGCGCACGTTGGATCGACTGAACGGCTACCACGAGGGCATCATCGAGGCGTTGAGGAACGCGGAGAGTCATCGAGAATTATCGGGAGTACCGCTGGTCAACGCGAACCTGATCGACCACGAGGCTTTGCGTAAACCTTTGACGGAATGCGGTTACCCGGAGTCGTATCGCAAGGAGCTCGGTAGACAGGGTCACATGGAGAACCAAGCGGACGAGGAGGTCGACGAGGAGGAGGAGGACGAGAGCATGCCGCCGTGTAGCACGATTCGCATACGCACCCTCGAAGACATAATAAAACAACTGGAACGTCACACGACTCGGAGCATAAGTCGGTGCAATTCCGACGACATCCGAATGTCCGAGAGCGAAGCCGATCGTCACTACAGAATAGATTCGTCCGTTTGTAGCGAATCGTCCCAAGGGTAAGAACTGATGCGAAACAAGCGCTTCGGCCTGCTTACGTTTTACTTTTATCGACGTTCTCATCGCTTCTACCGTTCTCGATCGTCGGTCTTTTGGCAAAGCTTTGGATCGCGACCGCGTCGTATCGCGCCGTACGTCGTCCGCCCGTTTAATCTCGGACGCGTTCCAACGTTTTCCCAAGACGATCGTCGACGTACAATCAGCGAAATTAATCGCGCGTTAGAGACAGAACGATCGATCGCGTACACGCGGCTATCGGACTCTGTAATTCGTTCGGCCTTGATTCGTTTCTCTCTCATATTTTTCCTTCGCTCCACTTACTCGATCAAACATCTTACACGCTGGCACAAACTCACTGTTACGTCTACTATTTATTATTACTGTTATCGTTGCTTACATTTTCTTCTCTCGCCAATTCGTTTTGTATCTTGTGCTTCCATACTTGCGCATATTACAGCTGTCGGATCGGCGAACCACGCGTCTGGTTAACGATCGTAGCGTTTAGAGTAGTTGCGTCGCGTCGCAGCGAAATCTACCAGCCGCGTTATCGATACCCACCACCTCGGCGAGTCGACTTGCATCGTCGAGGCGCAACCGTACTCGATGGAACACATGCAGAGTCTGTTTATACCGTGTCCCTCCGTCATTTTCCGAATCGATCGGTCGCTACGGTCGCGTCGGATCATTTATCGGTTCGTTGGACCGTCGGGAAACGAACTCGTTTCGTTCTACCGGGCCAGCTAGCAGAATTTCGGACGACGACACGTAACGAACGAAACGAGATATCGCGCGAACCGATTAAACGATGTTACCCGGCTAGCTGTACGACCATTTCAAAAGCACTGATACGATTTCCTACGTAGAAGCAGAAGGTGTAGCCGCGCCCGTGACGATACCTACGGTAGATATTGCCAACCATCGTCTCGAAGTCCTTACGGCACCCATCAGCTCGTTCAACACTCCCATCAAATGCACAAGGAGGAGGATATCTATGAAACTGCCGACCCTGACAGAGGCTCAAATACTAGGGGTGAAACGCCCGATAGCGAAAGGTATCGCAGATTCTTTCAATACGAAACGGGCTTAGTAGTTTTAAACAGACGCGTCGTAGTGATTCGTCGTGATTTCGCGCGATTCGACGTTCGTTTAAGACCTCCGTGCGAATCCCTGATAGTTCTCGCTTCTGTCCACGAGTTACCCGAACCGCGATCACTGTTGATCGTTCGAAGTTATCCCTGCGCTCGATGCTTCGAATCGAAGGGAGAAAATAAAATTGCAAGCTCCTAAAATTCTATCAGTTTGGTGAACGCGTATTCAGATAAGGATCGGTGCATGTCCGGTGGGAAGGGAAGTCGCGCGTTCGATTAACAGGACCAGAAACTACTCGATCCCGAACGTCGAAACGGAATATAAATAGACTCGGCATACTCCTTGTCTTCGACAACGTTTGCAAGTCAGCCGGCTCTGAACCAGGAACACCGCGTTACGTTACGAGTTTCCACGGACCAGTAAAGACGAACCGACAAAATTCAACACATCAACTTTCGCATGCTACTCTACTGTTTTAGCTGCTTGTGCGATGCGCTGTGAATGTGCTGCATAACAACGCGAGGACACGTTTTAACGATGCCGTTCTTCTTCCTCTTTAGAGCGCGTGAATGGCTAAAAACGTTACGAGCGTAACGATCGTACTAGCATATCCGTGACAATAGTGGAAACTTGCGCGATTCGTCGAAGATACCGAAGGAAATAAGCAGCAGCGACTCTGTTTCGATTTATACTTACTTAGCAAAAATCTGTATTGGAACGCGATCATCTGCGGTTTACGACGCGCTAGAACGATCCGCACTTATCCTTATCTGAAGGTTTCCTTCCCTGTTATTAAAAGTACAAAGTGTGATGATACGTTCGACGAGCAATCGTTCGTAGCCGCAATTGCAAGGCTTCGCACGCGCGCAATCGTTTAGAAAGCTTTCTGTGTACGTAACTGATTATACGGTACGTATACGCGTTATCGTTTTCGCTCGATCAAGTTTCAGCAGCGAGCAAAACAGGTATAAAACGAACGGATAACGCGTACGCGTACAGCACGCATCTAGATAAATTGTACGCCTAGAGAAGGTAAGTACCCCGAACAGGGAGGCTAACGGGTGGGTGGGACGAAATCTAACGATCAGAGAAGCTAGAGAAACCGAAGGGAACGTTGGTCCGCGAGTCAGACGCGTGCGTATTTGCGTATGCAGCATTAGTGGTCGTGGAATAGATCCAATGGGCTCGTGTAATCTTGTTATTTTCTAGTGATGCATTTATTCAAGCTCAACAACAACTAGCCCGATGGACGAGTGAGAACGGAGTGCAACACCGGCCTCCGCAGCAGCCGC